CCGGGGCAGTGCCCTCCCTGTGCTGGCACCGCTGGGGCACCTCCAGCGCTGGGGCAGGGCTGGCCCCTCACACCAGAGACACAGGGAGGGGCTGGAGCGTGGGCAGGGAAGGGAACGGAGCTGGGAAGGGGCTGGAGCAGCAGGAGCAGCTGAGGGAGCTGGGGGGGCTCAGCCTGGAGAAAAGGAGGCTCAGGGGGGACCTTCTGGCTCTGCAATCCCTGACAGGAGGGGGGAGGCTCAGGTTGGATATCGGGGAGAATTCCCACACGGAAAGGGCTGTCCAGCCCTGGCACAGCTGCCCAGGAAGGTGGTGGAGTCCCCATCCCTGGAGGGACTTAAAATCCCTGTGGATGTGGCACGTGGGGACATGGCTCAGTGGTGGCCTGGGCAGTGCTGGGGATGGTTGGACTCGATGGTCTCAGAGGGCTTTTCCAACCTCAGTGATTCCTGGAGAAGGACAGGACCAGGAGCCAGGATGCCCTCGCTCAGCTGGAGCTCAGGAGGTGTCCCAAGCACAGCCACAGGCTCCACACTACAAGTTCCAGCGACCCAGGAGGGTTCACTCAGGGACACTTTTCTTACCCATCTGCTGCTGGATTACAGGGCAAAGCTCACAGGGAATGTTTCAGCTTCACCAGCCCCCCCTGAACTGGTGGAAGACGCTGCAAGGGCAGCTCAGCCCTCCAGCCCTGCCCTCCTGCAAGGGGCCCGAGCTGAAAGCACGGGCGTGGAGCAACTTGTGGAGCTCAGAGCACGTCTGGGGTTCATCTCCTGTGGCCTTCACGAGGAGAGATGATCGTTGCAGTGCAGCTGCACTCACCCAACTCCCCTTCCAGCCTGCTGCATTTCCCACCCGGCATCTGATGAGCCAGAAGATAAATAAAATGGGTGTAATCAGGTATGAGGAAGAGGGTTTTTTACAACGAGAGGGTGGTAAAACACGGGCTGTCAGGAGAACACGTGGTTCGCCCCATCCCTGGAATTGTTCAAGGCCAGGTTGGGCAGGGCCTGGAGCAACCCTGGGAGAGTGGGAGGCACTGCCAGCAGTACAGGGGACCCGTCTCACCCCAGTTGTCTTCACAAAGAGCTTCCTGCAGAGGATTCCCTAACGAGGGATGGACGCCCCGACACCCCAGAGGGTCCATCACCATCAGCCTCAACGCCCACTGCCCAGGCACCAGGGTATGGGGGGGGCACCTCCCTGGGAACCTTCAATTAACAAGCCAATTAACCCCGCTGTGGTTTTGGCACCCGCCCCAGCAGGGCTAAAAGGCCTCCTGGACCCCCAGCCTTGGACTTACCCACAGGGCAAAGCGCCCAAGGCCCCAGTTGAGGTGGGCAGGGAAGCAGGGGCAGGACAGACTCCTCGGGGGGAGTTCCATCTCCAGGGGCTCCTGGAGCAGAGCCCCCCACGGTGGGGACACCCCTGAGGGCTGGGGGGGGGAAGGGGGGGCACAACTCACCACCTGGCTGATGTCATATCCCCAGGGCAGGAACAGAATGCCCGTGTTGTACTTCTCCCAGTGGGAGAGGATGAAGGAGAACAAGACCACCCAGAGCAGGAGGTAGAGCACGAAGACGCTGACGCCGGTGGAGCCGCGGCCGAAGGTGGAGTAGACGGTGACCACGAAGTACACGCAGGCCCAGCTGTCCAGCCCGTGGTCGAAGAGCTCTCCCAGGGGGGTGCTGGAGTTGGTGCGACGCGCCTGCTTCCCGTCCACCCCATCTGGGAGGAGGGGGAGGAGCAGGGGAATGATCCCGGACACCTTCCCCCCACCCCCACAACGATGCCACCACCTCCACCCTCCACGGGGAGTGGGGGGGTCCCACCCAGCCCCTGCTCCACGGGAGGCTGGAAAGGCGACAGCCCCACAGGGTTATATTTATTGCCTTCTATTCGCTCAGTATTCCTTAAAGCAGCCCCTTCCAGAGCCTGCAGGGGCTCCAGGAGAGCTGCAGAGGGACTGGGGACAAGGCATGGAGGGACAGGACACGGGGAATGGCTTCCCAGTGCCAGAGGGCAGGGAGAGATGGGAGATTGGGAAGGAATTGCTGGCTGGGAGGGTGGGCAGGCCCTGGCACAGGTTGGGCAGAGAAGCTGTGGCTGCCCCTGGATCCCTGGAAGTGTCCAAGGCCAGGCTGGAGCACCCTGGGCTGGTGGGAGGTGTCCCTGCCCATGGCAGGGGGTGGCACTGGATGAACTTTAAGGTCCCTCCCAACCCAAGCCAGTCTGGGATTCCTGACTATTTAAAGCAGAGCCAAGACAGAATAAATTTCACAATTTATCTCAAATTTGTCTCGGTTCCAGTTTTCCTCCTTTCCTCATCTGCTGCTCTGGGACAACCTCCTTCTCTCCACTTTGCAAAGCAGCTCCCAGGAGCTGCTCCAGCAGACCCAGGAGCAGCTGGATCAGTGCCTGGCAGGAGGCAGAACCCAACACTTCCCAGGGGGTTCAGGGACTGGGTGACAGGCACGGCCAGCAGGAGAACTCTTACCTAACGTGTAGGCCATGAAGTTGAGGATCCCCACCACGATCCACACTCCGTTGGGAACGTGCTGGTGGTCAGGAGCTGCAGGGATCACACAGATAGCTCAGGACCAGCTCCCAGGGGGTTTGTTCTGGCCCAGGAGGCACAGCCCAGGGCCAAGGCAAAGCACCTGCACAGCTCAGTGAAACTGGGGTGTGAGCTTCTCAGGATGTTCCACAACAGCCCATGAAACCAGGTCACTGAGGGCTTTTCCCTCCGGGATTTAACTCCTCCTCCTGTCCCCAGATCCCCAAAATCACGGGATCCAAGAATCATGGGGCCAGTTCTGTGGGCCCCCCTGCAAGGCCATGGAATTGTGTGCAGGTGGCTCTCCTTGATCCCTCGCTCACAGAGCATCAGGTGGAGCCTCGGGAGGGGTGTGACAATTCCCTGGGGGGTGACAATTCCCTGAGGGGGTGACAATTCCCCGCCATCCGCAGGGACACGCCGGGATTCCCGCCCGGATTCCCCACCCGGTCTCCAGTCCCAGCCTGCCAATGGAGAAGGAGCTGCTCCCTCGTGGCATCTCCACCTCCTGAGCCTCACCAACCCTCCAAAGCAGCTTCTGAGAGGCTGGGAGAGCTGGAGAAGGCTCTGGGGAGACCTGACAGATCCTTCCAGAGCCTAAAGGGGCTCCAGGAGAGCTGCAGAGGGACTGGGGACAAGGCATGGAGGGACAGGACACAGGGAATGGTTTCCCACTGCCAGAGGGCAGGGAGAGATGGGATTTTGGGAAGGAATTCTTCCCTGTGAGGGCAGTGAGGCCCTGGCATAGAGAAGCTGTGGCTGCCCCTGGATCCCTGGGAGTGTCCCAGGCCAGGTTGGACGAGGCTTGGAGCACCCTGGGCTGGTGGAAGGTGTCTCTGCCCATGGCAGGGGGTGGGAACTAGAGGATCCTGAAGGTCCCTTCCAAGCCAAACCGTTCTGTAATTCCCTGACTCTGGACATCTGATGTCCTGGGGATTCTCCCCTTGCCCTACTGTCAGCTTATCTCCCGTGGCTCAAGGACCAAAACACGGCCCAAATGTGGGCAAACACCCTGAGCTCTCCATAGCCTGGACTCGCCTACCCACCCACAGAGGCACTCCCAAAAAACCAGGCTTTTCCCACCTAACAGTGTTTTGATGATGGGCCCAGTTTTAGAAGAACAAGATGAACTCTCCAGAGCAACCCTGGCAGGGGCAAAGGGAGAGGAAACACGGAGAGGGATCCACTGTAAGCCTTTCCCCGGGACTCTGCCACGAGGGAAGGCACAACTGGGCCTTTGGAATGGCAGGCAGGTGCACGTGGGCACTGCTGGAGAGCTCAAAGCTGCGAGCAGTGAGGCTGAGGAGGAGGAGGACGTGGCCTGGCCAGTCTGTCGTGGCAGGCAGGGAGCGGGGACGTGAGGGAAACGAGGCTGCTCATTCCAGGGAAGCAGCGTTTCCCACATCACCCTGGGATCCTACACCAAGGCCGCTGTCTGCTGTGTGGGAAGAGCCAACTGCTGCCCAAGATTCCAGCTGTTTGCCCCTCCCTCTCCCTACCCCAGGAGCACATTCCAGCCCGGAGGGAAGGTGCTGTACCCAGACAAATCCTTGTCAGGAAGCCCAGCGGGTCCAACCCCCTGCTCTGTCCCAGTCACTTGGGAGGGCCCAGACCCAGGGGCTGGGATTGCCAGGTGGCAGATCCAGCCCCGGGAACACGCAGGCCTTACCAGAGGCGTAGAAGTCCGGGTCGAAGTAGGCCATGAGGAAGAAGTTGAAGACGAGGAGCAGGAAGCCAGAGAAGGTTATCAAGTTTGGGGCCAGCCAGGTGGGGAAGATCTGTGGGCAAGCAGCAGAAGGAGGAGGAGCTCGTTAGAAC